ACTGCTCCCCGGGCGCTGCATTGGTGGCTGCCCACTGCTTCACTGGGTGAATGGGTTAAATGCAGAGGAACTATTTCCCTACGGGGACTAACATGCACACTTTACACCTTTACTTTACACCTTATACAGCAATATATATATTGTTTAGTATTAAGCTTTGCTTGTTCCATATTCAGTTTTTCAGCAAAACTTGTTTGAGTCCATAAGAAAAGATTCATTCTTATATCTGGAGGAAGATTTTTTTTTTCAATAAATATTAATGTTAGCCCGCAACTTTGTTCCAGTTTTGAATTTTGGCCCACTGTGTATTTGAGTTTGACACCCCTGGTTTACAGTATTGAACGCTGCCTAAGGTCTAGCAGGACAAGCACAGAGATGAGTCCACTGTCAGAGGCCATGAGAAGATCATTTGTAACCTTCACTCAAGCTGTTTCTGTGCTGTGATGAGCTCTGAAACCTGACTGAAACTCTTCAAATAAACCATTACTCTGCAGATGATCTGTTGTCTGTTTTACAACTACTCTTTCAAGGATTTTTGATATGAAAGGAAGGTTGGAGATTGGTCTATAATTAGCTAAGACCGCTGGGTCAAGAGATGACTTTTTAAGTAACACCAGCTTGGAAGACAGTGGTACATGGCCAATTATTAGAGATCAGAAGAAGAAATTTTATTTAAAAGCGCCTTTCAAGAAACCCAAAGACAGTAAATAGTAGAATAAGACACATCGTAGAACAATGAAAAAACAAAGAATAATTTAAAAAAACACAAGATAAAATAAACAATGAGTTCACAGATTGTTCAGTTCACAGGTTGATCATATTTAAGATTGAAGGATTAATTAATGGCAGGACTTCTTTGAGCAGTCTTGTAGGAATGGGGTGTAAAAGACACGTTGATGGTTTGGAGGAAGTCATTACTGAAGTTAACTCCGAAAGATCAATTGGAGAAAAAGATTCTAAATAAATATCAGTGGTACTGCATGTACCATAATGTTAGAATGAATGGCTCTGCATGAGACCCGTGTTTGGCTTTTTGTCAGCCTGGCTACAGCGCTGAAGAGAAACCTATGGTTGTTCTTATTTTCTTCAATTAATGAGGAATACTAAGATGTTCTAGCTTTACAGAGGTTTTTTTTTTTTTATTATCAAGCAGCAAATTAATTTTCCAGGCTAAATGATGATCTTCTAAATTTGTGATACGCCATTTCCTCTCCAGCTTAAGCGTGATCTGTTTCAAGTACTTCCTATTTGAAGGTCTCTTTTTAACAGGAGCTACAGTATCGAGAGTCATATGTAATAAAGAAGTAGAATTTTTAACAAGATAATCGACTTCTATGGGAGTAGCATTCAGGTAGCTGGTCTGCTCCTTATTCTAAATTTAAACGTTTTCAGGAAAGCATCAGATTCTCACTAGGTGCCCAGTTCAAAGACGTGTATGTTAGGTTAATTGGTGTAGGTGTGAATGTGGGAGTTCGTGGTTGTCTGTCTCTGTGTGTGTTAGCCCAGTGTTGGGCGGATGACCTGTCACCTGATCAGGACATTTGTCAGCTGTTTTTTTTGTGTAGGATTAAATATTCAGATTTAGGTTCATACTTGACCATGGAAACAGTTTACTCGCTCTCCTTGAACTTTTGATGTTTAGTTTT